TGTGTAGTGTGTTGTGTGTGTGTTGTGTGTGTCGTGTGTTGTGTGTGTTGTGTGTGTTGTGTGTAGTGTGTGTCGTGTGTTGTGTGTTGTGTGTGTTGTATGTATCGTGTGTGTGTTGTATGTATCGTGTGTTGTGTGTGTGTTGTGTGTATGTCGTGTGTTGTGTGTGTTGTGTGTGTAGTGTGTGTTGTGTGTGTGTTGTGTGTGTATGTCGTGTGTTGTGTGTCGTGTGTGTGTGTGTTGTGTGTGTGTTGTGTGTGTTGTGTGTGTCGTGTGGTGTGTGTTGTGTGTGTCGTGTGTGTTTTGTGTTTTTGGTGTTTGTGTGGTGTGTGTGTGTTGTGTTTGGTGTGTGTTGTGTGTGTGTTGTGTGTCGTGTGTGTTGTGTGTGTTGTGTGTGTTGTGTGTATGTTGTGTGTCGTGTGTTGTGTGTGTTGTGTGTGTGTTGTGTGTATGTTGTGTGTCGTGTGTTGTGTGTGTTGTGTGTGTGTTGTGTGTGTGTGTTGTGTGTGTTGTATGTGTCGTGTGTTGTGTGTGTTGTGTGTATGTTGTGTGTCGTGTTTTGTGTGTGTTGTGTGTCGTGTGTATGTTGTGTGTCGTGTGTGTTGTTTGTGTGTGTGTTGTGTGTGTCGTGTGTGTGTTGTGTGTATGTGTGTTGTGTGTGTTGTGTGTGTCGTGTGGTGTGTGTTGTGTGTGTCGTGTGTTGTGTGTGTGTTGTGTGTGTGTTGTGTGTGTCGTGTGTGTGTTGTGTGTGTCGTGTGTGTGTTGTGTGTGTCATTTGTTGTGTGTGTTGTGTGTGTGTTGTGTGTGTGTTGTATGTGTCGTGTGTGTGTTGTATGTGGCGTGTGTTGTGTGTGTGTTGTGTGTATGTCGTGTGTCGTGTGTTGTGTGTGTTGTGTGTGTGTTGTGTGTATGTTGTGTGTAGTGTGTGTGTTGTGTGTGTGTGTTGTGTGTGTCGTGTGTGTGTTGTGTGTGTCGTGTGTATGTTGTGTGTATGTTGTGTGTATGTCGTGTGTTGTGTGTGTCGTGTGTCGTGTGTGTGTGTTGTGTGTGTGTTGTGTGTGTTGTGTGTGTCGTGTGGTGTGTGTTGTGTGTGTCGTGTGTGTGTGTGTCGTGTGTTGTGTGTGTTGTGTGTGTTGTGTGTGTGTTGTGTGTGTTGTGTGTGTCGTGTGTGTGTGTGTGTTGTGTGTGTTGTGTGTCGTGTGTGTTGTGTGTGTTGTGTGTATGTTGTGTGTCGTGTGTTGTGTGTTGTGTGTATGTTGTGTGTCGTGTGTTGTGTGTGTCGTGTGTTGTGTGTCGTGTGTGTGTCGTGTGTGTGTTGTGTGTGTTGTGTGTCGTGTGTGTGTTGTGTGTGTGTTGTGTGTCGTGTGTTGTGTGTAGTGTGTGTGTTACGTGTGTCGTGTGTGTCGTGTGTTGTGTGTCGTGTGTGTGTTGTGTGTCGTGTGTTGTGTGTGTTGTGTGTGTTGTGTGTATGTTGTGTGTATGTTGTGTGTGTGTCGTGTGTTGTGTGTGTCGTGTGTGTGTTGTGTGTGTGTTGTGTGTGTTGTGTGTCGTGTGTTGTGTGTGTCGTGTGTGTTGTGTGTGTTGTGTGTGTGTCGTGTGTTGTGTGTGCCGTGTAGTGTGTGTGTTGTGTGTGTCGTGTGTGTGTGTTGTGTGTGTCGTGTGTGTCGTGTGTGTGTGTTGTGTGTGTGTTGTGTGTGTGTTGTGTGTATGTTGTGTGTCGTGTGTGTGTTGTGTGTGTTGTGTGTGTGTTGTGTGTATGTTGTGTGTATGTCGTGTGTGTGTTGTGTGTGTTTTGTGTGTCGTGTGTGTGTGTTGTGTGTGTGTGTTGTGTGTATGTTGTGTGTCGTGTGTGTGTTGTGTGTGTTGTGTGTGTTGTGTGTATGTTGTGTGTCGTGTGTGTTGTGTGTGGTGTGTGTGTCGTGTGTGTGTTGTGTGTGTGTTGTGTGTGTCGTGTGTGTTGTGTGTGTCGTGTGTGTGTTGTGTGTTGTGTGTCGTGTGTGTGTTGTGTGTCGTGTGTGTGGTGTGTGTGTGTTGAGTGTCCTGTGTGTGTCGTGTGTTGTATGTCGTGTGTGTGTTGTGTGTATGTTGTGTGTGTTATGTATGTGTTGTGTCGTGTGTTGTGTTGTGTGTAGTGTGTGTCGTGCGTGTGTGTTGTGCGTGTTTTGTACGTGTGTGTGTTGTGTGTGTGTGTGTGTCGTGTGTGTGTGTTGTGTCGTGTGTGTGTTGTGTGTGTGTACGTGTGTGTGTGTCTTGTGTGTGTGTGGTGTGTGTCGTGTACGCGTGTGTGTTCGTGTGTGTTCGTGTGTGTGCGTGTGTGTGTGCTGTGTGTGTGTTGTGTGTGTGTTGTTGTGTGTGGTGTGTGTTGTGAGTTTGTGTGTCGTGTGTTTGTTGTGTGTGTGTTGTGTGTGTGGAGGCTGGAGCGTGCCACTAAGAGATGGGGCCTTACCATCATCCCCACCAAAACTAAGCACCTGCCTGGGTATTTTGTACCATCGGACACTCCACCCCCACAACTCCCAATCGGTGATGGGGCAGTTGTGGAGAGAGTGGAGAGTTTCCCATACCTGGGCAGTGTGCTTATGACCGGCTCCAGTTTAACAGCAGAGGTCTCACTCCGAATCAGTCGAGCGGCAATTTCTTTTCATCGTTTGCGTAACGCTGTGTGGAAGCTACCTGGTCTGTCGCTTCGCTCTAAGCTTCAGGTCTTCTCGGCCACGGTCATTCCCTCTCTTCTCTACGCTTGCGAAACATGGACCCCCTTAATGAAACATCTTCACCGGTGAGAAACATTTAGGCTGGCCTGCCTACGATCCATCCTGGGGTTAGCCAGGCTGGATTGTGTGAGGAGCTCACAAATCCTTGAAAGATCTGGGCAAGGTCCCATCGGTGAGCTCCTCCGGCAGGCAAGGCTGCGTTGGCTGGGTCATGTTGCCCGCATGCCCAGCCACCGTATGCCGAAACAGCTTTTGTTCGGCCGGATCGAGGGGGCTAAACGGGCGCAGCACGTGCTAGAGAAGAGATGGAGTGATGTGGTACAGGAGGACGTGGAACTGAGTGGACTTGCCGATGACTGGTACCAGCGGTGTCAAGATCGGCCTCTGTAGAGGAGCCTCGTGAAGGACGCTACTGGGCAGTTGGAGGCAGTCGCCCTCCAACAACAACGGAGGGCGGAGGAGCGACGCTCACAACAACGGGCGGAGCGCCGGGTGGCTAAAGCACAGCAGGTTGGCACAGTAGGGGGCACAGGTGGTGCATCAGCCAGTCATCTCAGTCAGTCGACCCGTGGCACTTTCTGGGTCTGCCCCGTGACCTCCTGCCAGCGGGCGTTCGACACTTCACGTGGCCTCAAGGTGCACGTGGCCTGGCACAAGCGTCGTGGTGACGTCACCGCCACTTAGTGGCGAATGGCGGTTGTTGTTGTTGTGTGTGTGTGTCGTGTGTGTGCGTGTGTGTTGTGTCGTGTGTGTCGTGTGCGTGCGTGTGTTGTGTGTGTTGTGTGTGTGTGTCGTGTGTGCGCGTGTGTGTGTTGTGTTCGTGTGTGTGCGCGTGTGTGTGTGCACGCGTGTGTGTGTGCGCGTGTGTATGTGTGCGTGTTTGTGTGTGTGCGCGTGTGTGTGTGCGTACGCGTGTGTGCGTGTGTGTGTGTGCGCGCGTGTGTGTGTGCGTGTGTATGTGCGTACGCGTGTGTGTGTGTGCGTGTGTGTGCGTGTGTGTGCGCGTGTGTGTGTGTCCGGCGAGGTCGACTCAGCCTCAAATGAGTACCTGGGTGCGTAAAAACATCGCCACTGGGGAGACAAAGGCGGCCGGGCGTGGTGCTGGCCACCCACCCCCTCGTGTGCCGTTCCGGCCTTCATAGGTGCTCGCTCACAGCACTTGCCCCAACAATCTGTTCAGGCTATACGGGGGATCTTTGTCTTTGTTTTTTCTTCGTCTTTTTTCAGTGGGGAGCGGTCACGGTACTCGTTTGAGGCCGAGTCGACCTAGGGGAGGCCCAGGACCGGTGCAGATATTCGTCACCTGGTGCTGGTGGCCGTGAGCGGGAATCGAACTCGGGATGCCGGGTTCGTAGCGCAGCGTAGCGCTAACCGCTGCACCACCGCTCCCCAAACAACAACAACCAACATTCACCAGGACGTGGCGGTAACGTCGCCACGCTGCTTGTGCCAGGCTAGGTGCACTTTAAGGCCACGTGAAGTGTCCGCTGGCAAGAGGTCACGGGGACAGACCCAGCAGGTGCCATGGGTCGACTGACTGAGATGACCGGAAGATGCACCACCACCTTTGCCCCCTACTGTGCCAGGCTAGGTGCAGGAAGTCACGGGACAGGCCCAGCAGGTGCCATGGGTCGACTGACTGAGATGACTATTATCAGATGCACCACCAGCTGTGCCCCCTACTGTGCCAGGCTAGGTGCAGGAGGTCACGGGACAGACCCAGCAGGTGCCATGAGGTTGACCGACTGAGATGACTACTGGCAGACGAACCACCCACAAACACACACACGAGACACACAACGAGATACACAACGAGATACACAACGAGACACACACAACACGGTGACACTCGACGCCTGTTTACGTTTCAAGAAACATTTTATTGGGGGGGGTGAGGGAAGAGCGGGGGGCGGCGGGGGGAGGCGGTTGGCAGCCGGAGGGGGACACGTGGTCAGATGTTCACAATGGACACACACGGGCGGACACGCACGGGTGGACACACGCACATTGACACACACACACACGCGTTCATCGAGAACTCCAGCCTCTACACGCTGACCTCCACCGCAGCCTCGGCCCACTGCCAACGGATGGGTGGGCTCACGTCGCAGGAAGATCAGACAGCGGTGTCGGTGAGAGGTGCGTGAGTCCGTCCGTCCATCGGTCAGTCCATCGGTCAGTCCATCCATCAGTCTATCGGTCCATCCGTCAGTCTATCCATCGGTCAGTCCATCCATCAGTCCATCAATCTATCGGTCCATCCATCAGTCCATCCATCAGTCCATCAGTCCATCGGTCCATCCATCAGTCTATCCATCGGTCAGTCCATCCATCAGTCCATCAGTCTATCGGTCCATCCGTCAGTCCATCCATCGGTCAGTCCATCCATCGGTCCATCAGTCCATCGGTCCATCCGTCAGTCTATCCATCGGTCAGTCCATCCATCAGCCCATTGGTCCATCCGTCAGTCCGCCGAGGGCCTCCGCGCTCCGCCGCGCCGAGGGGCTCCCTACTTGGCGTTGGCCAGCACGTACTCTGCGATGACCTTGATGGCCACCATGGTCTCCTCGCACGTGGGCCGGATCTGGCTCTCGGGCAGCAGGAAGCCGTAGCGGCCGGTGTCACGCAGCTCCAGCGTGAAGGAGTATTTGATGCCCACGTCATAGGCCCAGTCGTCGGAGCCGCCCGACGCGATGTCTGGTGGTGGGGGTAGTGGGGGGGGGGGGTGGTAAAGGGGGGGAGGGCAGGGGGGACAGTGAGGGGGTAGCGGTCCAATTGAGCAATTTGCAGGTTGTGTTTGTTGATGGAGATTGGTTGTGGGTTAGGGTTCGGGGGTTGGATGATGATGATGATGATGGTGGAGACTGGAGGAGGTGATGGAGATCGATGGGACCAGAGGAGGTGATGGAGATCGATGGGACCAGAGGAGGTGATGGAGACTCGAAGACGTGACCGGTGGGAGAGGTTAGTGGCCCATAGACTCCACACATGGCATCCCGTAGGCCCACAGTGAGAGACTCAACTACATATCAGGTAAGCAAGGCCTCACTGAGCTCCCGTGTCGCTCTTTTTGTCAGAAGCGACCGTGGCCATCACGAATGACAGCTCACGCGAAGTTGCGGCTTTTCATCATCATCATCATCGTCGTCATCGCATGGAAATTTATCGCAGACTCGTAGAGAACCAGAGAGCCACAGAGACCCATAGAAACCAGATAATACTCATAGAGACCTGCAGAGACCCAATTAGAACCGTAGAGACCCACAGAGACACTCAGGAATCTAGAGAGCCATACTCACAGAGACCCATAGAAACCAGATAATACTCATAGAGACCTGCAGAGACCCAATTAGAACCGTGGAGACCCACAGAGACACTCAGAAATCTAGAGAGCCATACTCACAGAGACCCATAGAAACCAGATAATACTCATAGAGACCTGCAGAGACCCAATTAGAACCGTAGAGACCCACAGAGACACTCAGGAATCTAGAGAGCCATACTCACAGAGACCCATAGAAACCAGATAATACTCATAGAGACCTGCAGATACCCAATTAGAACCGTAGAGACCCACAGAGACACTCAGAAATCTAGAGAGCCATACTCACAGAGACCCATAGAAACCAGATAATACTCATAGAGACCTGCAGAGACCCAATTAGAACCGTGGAGACCCACAGAGACACTCAGAAATCTAGAGAGCCATACTCACAGAGACCCATACTAAAACTAAACTATTTTATCGTTAGCAGGTAAGTAAGGCCCCGCTGAGTTGCTGTGTCACTCATTTTGTCCGAAGCGACGCCTGGCCATCACGAATGACAGCTCACGTGAAGTGGCTTATCGCGTATGCTTGGTTCTTTCGGTAAAGTCACGGAGAAGGGAAACAATAAAAATAAAAACAATTCTCACGACGTTGCGACTGCAACACAAGCAATGATCATCAGGTGTGGAAAGCACGGGAATATTCTTTTTATATTTGTATTTTTTTCATTATTTCTCTTCTACGTGGTGGTGACTTTACCGAAAAGACCAAGAATATGAATCCCTGCAGTCACGAAAGCTTTCAATCGAAATTTGCCTTCATTGCGATCGGTTGATTCTAAACGCGGAGGGGAACACGCACGCGACCACGGACAGGGAAACAAGCAAACTCAGAATAGACAGCGGCAGGGGCCGCAGTTTGCACTCACAGATGGTGGTGGCGCTAGAACCGTAGGTGTAGCGAGTGTTGTACAGCCCCTGCAGGGCGCTCACAGCCGTCTTGGACAGGCTTTGCTGTGGCACACACACGCGGCAGCACGGACATCACACGGCCATTGGTGGGGGAGGTCAGAGGGTGGGGGAGAAGGGGTGAGGGTGGGGTGAGGGGGGGGTGAGGGTGGGGGTGAGGGGGGTGAGGGGGGGTGAGGGGGTGGGGGTGAAGGGGGGGGGGACCGGGTGACAACGACGCGGTGACCGGGTGTCAATGAGGAGGATGACGAGGAGGACAATGAGGATGATGACAATGAGGATGATGACAATGAAGAGGATGACAATGAGGATGACAATGAGGATGATGACAATGAGGAAGATGACAATGAGGAGCATGACAATGAGGAGGATGACAATGAGGATGATGACAATGAGGTGAATGACAATGAGGAGGATGACAATGAGGATGATGACAATGAGGATGATGATAATGAGGAGCATGACAATGAGGATGATGACAATGAGGAGCATGACAATGAGGATGACGGCAATGAGGATGATGACAATGAGGAAGATGACAATGAGGATGATGATAATGAGGAGGATGACAATGAGGATGATGACAATGAGGAAGATGACAATGAGGATGATGACAATGAGGAGGATGACAATGAGGAGGATGACAATGAGGAGGATGACAATGAGGAGCATGACAATGAGGAGGATGATAATGAGGAGGATGATAATGAGGAGGAGGACAATGAGGAGCATGACAATGAGGAGGATGACAATGAGGAGGATGACAATGAGGAGCATGACAATGAGGATGATGACAATGAGGAGGATGACAATGAGGAAGATGACAATGAGGAGGATGACAATGAGAATGATGACAATGAGGAGGATGACAATGAAGAGGATGACAATGATGACGATGACAATGAGGAGGATGACAATGAGAATGACGACAATGAGAATGATGACAATGAGGAGGATGACAATGAAGAGGATGACAATGATGGCGATGACAATGAGGAGGATGACAATGAGAATGACGACAATGAGGAGGATGACAATGAGGATGATGACAATGAGGAGGATGACAATGAGGAGGATGACAATGATGCTGATGACAATGAGGATGATGACAATGAGGACGATGACAATGAGAATGATGACAATGAGAAAGACGACAATGAGGATGACGACAATGAGAAAGACGACAATGAGAATGACGACAATGAGGATGACGACAATGAGAAAGACGACAATGAGAATGACGACAATGAGGATGACGACAATGAGAATGACGACAATGAGTATGATGACAATGAGAATGATGACAATGAGAAAGACGACAATGAGGAAGACGACACTGAGGAGGAGGGGGACGACGACGACGAGGATGACGATGACGATGACGACGAGGATGAGGTGGTGCCGTGTGCGGTCGCTCACGAGCTCGGCGTGATTGGGCGGCAGCGCGTAGGTGTAGGCATAGGGGAAGAGCAGCATCTGTGAGTACGAGTGCACCGACACGTAGGCCTTGATGGAGGAGATGCGCGAGCGGATGAAGTCGGCCATGGAGCTGGACTCCACCTCGGACTCAATGCGCGTGCCACAGTACGTCTCAGCGCATGGGCTAGAGGACGCGCCTCCGGCTGTCACGTGGTGGGTGGATGGGGGAGTTATGGGGGGTGGTGAGCCACGGGGAGATAACAATGGGGGGGGGGCAGGGGGAGGGGTTACGGGGGTGGGCACGGGGAGACAACAATGGGGGGCAGGGGGAGGGGTTACAGGGGGGGGGGCACAGGGAGACAACAATGGGGGGCAGGGGTTACAGGGGGGGGGCACAAGGAGACAACAATGGGGGGCAGGGGGAGGGGTTACAGGGGGGGCACATGGAGACAACAATGGGGGGGCAGGGGTTAAGGGGGGGGCACAGGGAGACAACAATGGGGGGCAGGGGGAGGGGTTACAGGGCGGGGGCACAGGGAGACAACAATGGGGGGGCAGGGGGAGGGGTTACAGGGGGGATGCTGTGACGATGACCCCGTTGACCCGAATTCGATTCCAACATCAGTGGCAAACATCTGAACCGGCCTGCCGTGCCCGCGGTGGTTGTGGTGGTGGCGGTGGTGGTGGTGGTGGTCGTGGTGATCGTGGTGGTGGTTGTGGTGGCGGTGGTGGTGGTCGTGGTGGTGGTGGTGGTGGTGTTGGTGGTGGTCGTGGTGGTGTTGGTGGTGGTGGTGGTGTTGGTGGTGGTTGTGGTGGTCGTGGTGGTCGTGGCGGTGGTGGTGGTTGTGGTGGTGATCGTGGTGGTGGTTGTGGTGGTGGTTGTGGTGGTGGTCGTGGTGGTGTTGGTGGTGGTGGTGGTGTTGGTGGTGGTTGTGGTGGTGGTCGTGGTGGTCGTGGTTGTGGTGGTGGTAGTGTTGGTTGTGGTGGTGGTGGTGGTTGTGGTGGTGGTGTTGGTGGTGGTCGTGGTGGTGTTGGTGGTTGTGGTGGTTGTGGTGGTGGTGGTTGTGGTGGTGGTGGTTGTGGTGGTGGTGGTGGTTGTGGTGATTGTGGTTGTGGTGGTTGTGGTGGTTGTGGTGGTTGTGGTGGTTGTGATGGTTGTGGTTGTGGTGGTTGTGGTGATTGTGGTTGTGGTTGTGGTGGTTGTGGTTGTGGTGGTTGTGGTGGTTGTGGTTGTGGTGGTTGTGGTGGTTGTGGTGGTGGTTGTGGTGGTTGTGGTGGTTGTGGTGATTGTGGTTGTGGTGGTGGTTGTGGTGGTTGTGGTGGTTGTGGTGGTTGTGGTGGTGGTTGTGGTGGTGGTTGTGGTTGTTGTGGTTGTGGTGGTTGTGGTGGTTGTGGTTGTTGTGGTGGTGGTTGTGGTTGTTGTGGTTGTGGTGGTTGTGGTGGTGGTGGTTGTGGTGGTTGTGGTGGTTGTGGTTGTGGTGGTTGTGGTGGTGGTTGTGGTGGTTGTGGTAGTTGTGGTGGTGGTGGTTGTAGTGGTTGTGGTGGTGGTGGTTGTGGTGGTGGTTGTGGTGGTGGTGGTTGTTGTGGTGGTGGTTGTGGTGGTGGTGGTGGTTGTGGTGGTTGTGGTTGTGGTGGTTGTGGTTGTGGTGGTTGTAGTTGTTGTGGTGGTTGTGGTGGTTGTTGTGGTGGTTGTGGTGGTGGTTGTGGTGGTGGTGGTGGTTGTGGTGGTTGTGGTGGTGGTGGTGGTTGTGGTGGTGGTTGTGGTGGTTGTGGTGGTTGTGGTGGTTGTGGTTGTGGTGGTGGTTGTGGTGGTGGTGGTTGTGGTGGTTGTGGTGGTGGTGGTTGTGGTGGTGGTGGTGGTGGTTGTGGTGGTTGTGGTGGTGGTGGTGGTTGTGGTGGTGGTGGTGGTTGTGGTGGTTGTGGTGGTTGTGGTGGTTGTGGTGGTGGTTGTGGTTGTGGTGGTGGTTGTGGTGGTGGTGGTTGTGGTGGTTGTGGTGGTGGTGGTTGTTGTGGTTGTGGTTGTGGTGGTGGTTGTGGTGGTGGTTGTGGTGGTTGTGGTGGTTGTGGTGGTGGTTGTGGTGGTTGTGGTGGTTGTGGTGGTTGTGGTTGTGGTTGTTGTGGTTGTGGTGGTGGTTGTGGTGGTGGTTGTGGTGGTGGTGGTGGTTGTGGTGGTGGTTGTGGTGGTTGTGGTGGTTGTGGTGGTTGTGGTTGTGGTGGTTGTGGTGGTGGTGGTGGTTGTGGTGGTGGTTGTGGTGGTGGTGGTGGTTGTGGTGGTGGTTGTTGTGGTTGTGGTTGTGGTGTTGCCATGCGCTCCGTACTGCACCAGCCGGCGTCGAAGTTGCGGTTGGGGTCGGTGCCGATGCACGAGGTGCCCGCGTTGGGGGATCGCGTCTTGCGCCACATTCTGTCCTGTGGGGGGAGTGGGGGGGAGTGGGGGGGAGTGGGGGGAGTGGGGGGAGTGGGGGGGAGTGGGGGGGGAGTGGGGGGGAGTGGGGGGAGGGGGGGAGTGGCGGGTCAGCAGTGGGACACAGACAAAGGTCCCCCGTGTAGCCTCTACAGACTGTAGGGGCAAGTGCTGTTAGTAGCGAGTAGCAGCAGCACCTGTGAAGGTAGACACAGACAAAGGTCCCCCGTGTAGCCTGTAACAGACTGTAGGGGCAAGTGCTGTTAGTAGCGAGTAGCAGCAGCACCTGTGAAGGTAGACACAGACAAAGGTCCCCCGTGTAGCCTGTAACAGACTGTAGGGGCAAGTGCTGTTAGTAGCGAGTAGCAGCAGCAGCTATGCAGGTAGACACAGACAAAGGTCCCCCGTGTAGCCTGTAACAGACTGTAGGGGCAAGTGCTGTTAGTAGCGAGCACCCCCTATGAAGGTTTCCGGCACGGCACACGAGGGGGTGGGTGGCCAGCAGCATCACGCCCGGCCGCCTTTGTCTCCCCCAGTGGCGACGTTTACTACTACACCACCGCTACACCAGGTAACTCATTTGAGTCTGAGTCGACCTAGGGGAGGCCCAGGACCGGTTCAGATAATCGTCACCGGTGTTGGCCGTGAGCGGGAATCGAACTCGGGTCGCCAGGTTCGATGTTTCTCGTGACTGCAGGAATCCATACTCTTTGGTTATTTCGATAAAGTCACGTAAGGTATAAAATAAAATAAATCACGACGTTTCGCTCGCAACACAAGCAATCCAAAGGACATGTGAGCATGAGAGTGTAATCCAAAGGTCACGTGAGCATCAGCGTGCAATCCAAAGCACATGTGAGCATGAGAAGTGCAATCCAAAGCACATGTGAGCATGAGAGTGTAATCCAAACGACACGTGACCATGAGAAGTGCAATTTAAAGGACATGTGAACATGAGAAGTGTAATCCAAAGTACATGTGAGCATGGGAGTACAATCCAAAGGACATGTGAGCATGGGAGTGCAATCCAAAGGACATGTGAGCATGAGAGTGCAATCCAAAGGACATGTGAGCATGAGAGTGTAATACAAAGGACATATGAGTATGAGAGTGCAATCCAAAAGAGATGTGAGCATGAGAGTGTAATCCAAAGGACATGTGAGCATGAGAGGTGCAATCCAAAGGACATGTGAGCATCAGAGTGCAATCCAAAGGACATATGAGCATGAGAGTGTAATCCAAAGGACATGTGAGCATGAGAGTGCAATCCAAAGGACATGTGAACATGAGAAATGCAATCCAGAGGACATGTGAACATGAGAAGTGCAATCCAAAGGACATGTGAGCGATCTAAGAGAGAGGCATAGAGAGAGAGAGAGAGACACACACACACAGAGAGTCGGAAATAACAGCTGACAGGTAGGGTGTTTGTCTGCTGATGTTGTTCGGTTGTTGGTTGCTGTTGCCTCGTGCGTGTTTGTCGTAGTCATCGTGTCTGTTGTTGCCGGTGTTTGTCTGCTGATGTTGTTTGGTTGTTGGTTGCTGTCTGCTTTGTTTGCTGCCTCACGTTGCTCCAGCTGTAGGCGTATCCGTCCACGTTGAACACGGTGAGGATGTGGAAGTCCATGCCGTCCAGCAAGCTGGTCATGGTAGCGTCCGAGCCGTACGTGGACACGGCCTGAGCCACGCTCGCGCGGACACAGACGCAGACGCACACGGACACGCGGACGCAGACACAGACGGACACGCGGACGGACACGCAGACGCAAACGGAGACGCGGACGGACATGCAGGCGCAGACACAGATGCAGCCACAGATGCAGACACAGACACAGATGCAGACGCAGACACAGATGCAGACGCAGACAGGGACACAGACGCAGATGCAGACACAGACGCAGACACAGACGCAGACAAAGACAGATGCAGACGCAGACGCAGATGCAGACGCAGACATGGACACGGACGCAGCCACAGACGCAGACACAGATAGACACAGATGCAGACACAGACACAGACAGACACAGACACAGACAGACACAGACACAGAAAGATACAGACACAGACAGACACAGACGCAGACACAGACACAGACAGACACAGACGCAGACGCAGACACAGTTAGACACAGACGCAGACACAGACACAGATAGACACAGACGCAGACACAGACACAGACAGACACAGACGCAGACGCAGACACAGACAGACACAGACACAGACGACGCAGACAGACGCAGACACAGACGCAGACAGACACAGACGCAGACAGACGCAGACGCAGAAGCGTCAGATCGCAATGACGGGCACATCGCCCCTAGGTGAAGGTTCCGCGTTTCGCGTGGGCAAGGCCGTCACGCGGGGCGGCGCCGTTTCTGTTTCGCCCGACACGACGCGCTGGCTTCCCCGCCCGGGAGCGCTGGTCGAGCGCAACGCTGAGACGCGCTGGCACCGCTAGTGAGACGCGCTGGCACCGCTAGTGAGACGCGCTGGCACCGCTAGTGAGACGCGGAGACTGGCACCGCTAGTGAGACGCGGAGACTGGCACCGCTAGTGTGACGCGCTGGCACCGCTAGTGAGATGCGGAGACTGGCACCGCTAGTGAGACGCGCTGGCACCGCTAGTGAGACGCGGGGACTGGCCCGCTAGTGTGACGCGGGGACTGGCCCGCTAGTGTGACGCGCTGGCACCGCTAGTGAGACGCGCTGGCACCGCTAGTGAGACGCGGAGACTGGCACCGCTAGTGTGACGCGCTGGCACCGCTAGTGAGATGCGGAGACTGGCACCGCTAGTGAGACGCGCTGGCACCGCTAGTGAGACGCGGGGACTGGCCCGCTAGTGTGACGCGGGGACTGGCCCGCTAGTGTGACGCGCTGGCACCGCTAGTGTGACATGGGGATGGAGCGCCGCTATAACGCACAGACGCTCGCCCGATCGCTCGCCCCCTTGCATCCACCACTGCCCGGATTAGAACCTCCCCCCCCAGCCCCCCCCCCCCCAGCCCCCCCAGCCCCCTGGTGGCTCACCTCCTTGACGAACCACTGGCAGAAGGCCGGAGAGATCCATTCACGAGCGTGGAAGGTGCAGTCCATGAAGAAGGCCTTCTTCTGCGTCTGGCTCTTCTTCCCCACCTGGTAGGGCGGCAAAGAGGTGATGGTGTCGAGATGTTGACTACCTCGCCTGGTCTACAGGAGGTCGTGGGTTCGATCTCGATCCTGACGTCTGCTGCTGTGTATTTGGAATCTGCGTCTCTCTCTGTCATCATCATCATCACGGTGGCTAGGAGATGTTGACTAGCTCGCCTGGTCTACAGGAAGTCGTGGGTTCGATCCCGACCCTGACAACGCCTGCTGCTGTATATTTGGAATCTGCGTGTCTCTCTCTCATCATCATCATCATCATCACGGTGGCTAGGAGATGTTGACGACCTCGCCTGGTCTACAGGAGGTCGTGGGTTCGATCTCGATCCTGACATCTGCTGCTGTGTATTTGGAATCTGCGTCTCTCTCTCATCATCATCATCACGGTGGCTAGGAGATGTTGACTACCTCGCCTGGTCTACAGGAAGTCGTGGGTTCGACCTCGACCCTGACGATGCCTGCTGTGATATTTGGAGTTTGCGGTGTCTCTCATCATCATCATCACGGTGGCTAGGAGATGTTGACGACCTCGCCTGGTATACAGGAGGTCGTGGGTTCGACCTCGACCACGACGCCTGCTGCTGCTGCTGCTGTGATATTTGGAGTGTGCGGTGTCTCTGTCTCTATCTCTGTCCTCTTGGTCGCGTGGATTTGTCTCCAGGTCCTCCGGTTTCCCCTTCCCGCCCTCCACGTTTAGAATTTAGAATCGACGTCACCGGGCACGTGACAAAGCCGTCACGGCGTTGAGCTTCTGTCGTTTGCGACCGCCAGCGTCGCTCCTGACAAAAAATAAAGCGCTACGGAACCCCACTCACTTACCTGGTAGGCAATAAATGCGAAAAAAGTTGTGTATGGTTTTAGTTTAGGGGGTGACAGCACCAATGGTGAGGCAGCCACATTCACGTCAGCCCGTAGCCTTCTGCTGCCCCTACTGGACATCCGTGTAGCCCCGCCCACTGCCCGGGTAGCCCCGCCCACTGCCCGGGCAGCCCCCCGCCCACTGCCCGGGTAGCCCCGCTGGTTGCCAGGCCGTGCCCACTGCTCATGTAGCCCCGCCCACTGCCCGGGTAGCCACCGCCCACTGCCCGGGTAGCCCCGCCCACTGCCCGGGTAGCCCCGCCCACTGCCCGGGTAGCCCCGCCCACTGCCCGGGTAGCCCCCCGCCCACTGCCCGGGTAGCCCCCCGCCCACTGCCTGGGTAGCCCCGCCCACTGCCCAGGTAGCCCCCGCCCACTGCCTGTGAAGCCCCGCTGGTTGCCAGGCCGTGCCCACTGCCCGTATAGCCCCGCCCACTGCTCGTGTAGCCCCCGCCCACTGCCCGTATAGCCCCGCCCACTGCCCGTGTAGCCCCCGCCCACTGCTCGTGTAGCCCCCGCCCACTGCCCGGGTAGCCCCCGCCCACTGCCCTGTAGCCCCGCCCACTGCCCGGGTAGCCCCGACGGTAGGCCAGGCTGACCGTGCCCACCGGCCCCCGGGTACCGTCAGCAGCAGGAGCGGGCGGGCCCTGGTAGGAGGATCCGATCCGGGTGAGGGACACCAGGTCGGGGTTCTCGGCCACGATGCTCGACTGCCACGCGCTGATCTGTGTGCGCGGCAAGAGGGGAGGGGGACGGACATCGCCATCGTCACCATCGTCACCATCACCGTCATCGTCACCATCAGCGTCGTCGTCACCATCAGCGTCATCGTCACCATCAGCGTCGTCAACACCATCACCGTCACCATCACCGTCATCGACACCATCACCGTCATCGACACCATCAGCGTCGTCAACACCATCACCGTCACCATCACCGTCATTGACACCATCACCGTCATCAACACCATCACCGTCACCATCACCGTCATCGACATTATTATCACCATCACCGCCGTCATCATTATCACCATCACCGTCATCAACACCATCACCGTCATCATCACCGTCATCTTCATCACCGTCATCGGCATCATTATCACCATCACCACCGTCATCATTATCACCATCACCGTCATCGACACCATCACCGTCATCTTCATCACCGTCATCGGCATCATTATCACCATCACCGCCGTCATCATTATCACCATCAACGGCATCATCATCATCATCATCACCGTCATCATCACCGTCACCATCACCGTCACTGTCATCATCACCACCACCACCTCCACCACCTCCACCACCATCACCACCACCATCACCCTCTCACCTCGTCCCAGTTGTGGTACTTCTCATAGTTGTAGCCGGCGGTGGAGCGAACCCCGTCAAGCTGGGCATCGATGGCCTGCTGGAGGTCCTGGATGAAGGGCCTGTCGTAGGCAGAGTGGTGGGGGGGGGGCAGAGTGGGGGGCAGAGTGTGTGGTGGGGGGCAGGCAAGGGGATTCACGTCCCAAGCGGAGACGGAGCTCACGGATTTATACCCCTTAGGGGCAGGGCCGGATCGAGGCGTGGGGGGCTTTAGGGGCTGCAGGCCTAAGGTGAAGTGAAACGTTGTTTCGTTTGTGAATGCTGAATTCTATTCGTTGTTAGCCTTGTAAATATAATTTAAAAAAAAGTAACTTAGTTTTCCCTTTTGAAAATATTACTGGGGGGGCTCACCAGTGCCTGTAGCCACTGGGGGGGGGGGGGGGGGGGGGGGTGGTGGCACGTGCCCCCCAATGATCCCATCGAAATCCCTAATTTCGATCCGATCATTGGGGGTTTATTAGTAATAAATCGGCATCTGGCGACCCCCACTGCCACTGTTTAGCATATTGTTACGCGCCAGGGACTCTGTGAGATGATAGGACAATAGTCTGAGTCGATAATTGGCAATAAGTAACGGCAAAGCGGTTATAAGTGACTCACAGAATTGTGCGAATTTGCCATATACACAGTCCACGACTTCCCTGAAGGCATCGACACCTTCAGCGAGCGAGATGCCGATCACTAACAACGCGGTGCGAATTCGACCCTCGATCGATGGCTGTGCCATCACCGCACACGTGTCGAGTAACAAGCAAGGGACAAGTCCTACACTTACTAACAACTCCTTACTAACAACTCCTTACTAACAACTACTTACTCACTAACTCCTTACTTACTAACAACTCCTTACTTACTAACAACTCTTTACTCACTAACAACTCTTTACTCACTAACAACTCCTTGCTTACGAACTCCTTACTCACTAACAACTCCTTACTTACTAACAACTCCTTACTCACTAACAACTCCTTACTTACTAACAACTCCTTATTTATGAACAACTCCTTACTTACTAACAACTCCTTACTCACTAACAACTCCTTACTCACTAACAACTCCTTACTCACAAACAACTCCTTACTCACAAACAACTCCTTACTTACTAACAACTCACTTACTAACAACTCCTTACTTCATCATTAGACCTCCTTTGCCAGTACCAAAATATAATAATAGTGTTTTTCCCCTTTTTTCTGGCTACAAAACTGAAACCTTTTTACGAGGATTCATATTACTGCATTAACCACAATACCTGCAGTCAAAATGCAAACAAAAAACATACTATGATAATATATGCATTGTCCTTGACACTGATTGGTCCACACTAAGGGACGGCTTTCTTTTGAGCCTCGACCCAATTGGTGCTCGACCAGATTACGCCAAAAGGCGAGAGACCCACAGACTCACACAGAGACCCACAGACTCACACAGAGACCCACAGACTACCACAGAGACCCACAGACTAGCATAGAGACCCACAGACTAACACAGAGACCCACAGACTCACACAGAGACCCACAGACTCACACAGAGACCCACAGACTAACACAGAGACCCACAGACTAACACAGAGACCCACAGACTCACACAGAGACCCACAGACTCACACAGAGACCACAGACTCACACAGAGACCCACAGACTCACAAAGAGACCCACAGACTAGCACAGAGACCCACAGACTCACACAGAGACCCACAGATTAACAGAGAGACCCACAGACTAACACAGAGACCCACAGACTCACACAGAGACCCACAGACTCACACAGAGACCCACAGACTAGCACAGAGACCCACAGACTCACACAGAGACCCACAGATTAACAGAGAGACCCACAGACTCACGCAGAGACCCACAGACTAACACAGAGACCCACAGACTCACACAGAGACCCACAGACTAACACAGAGACCCACAGACTCACACAGAGACCCACAGACTCACACAGAGACCCACAGACTCACACAGAGACCCACAGACTCACAAAGAGACCCACAGACTAGCACAGAGACCCACAGACTCACACAGAGACCCACAGATTAACAGAGAGACCCACAGACTAACACAGAGACCCACAGACTCACACAGATACCCACAGATTAACAGAGAGACCCACAGACTCACGCAGAGACCCACAGACTCACACAGAGACCCACAGACTCACACAGAGACCCACAGACAGCGGTGTTCCCACGTACTGGAGGGGCAGGCCACTGCGCTGCATGAAGGAGCGGGCGTAGTCGCCCTGCGCTGCGGGAACGCGGATGTCCACCTCCATGCCCACAGCCACCTGCTCAGCGCTGTCAGGCCTCCAGAAGTCCACCTGTGGTGGTGGTGGTGGTGGTAGGGGGGCGGTGGTATTGGGGTTGCGGTGATGGTGTTTGGTTGGGATTGTGGTGGGTGGGATTGTGGTGGGTGTGATTGTGGTGGTGGTGGGTGTCATTGTGGTGGGTGTGATTGTGTGTGGTGGGTGTGATTGTGGTGGTGGGTGTCATTGTGGTGGGTGTGATTGTGTGTGGTGGGTGGGATGGTGGTAGTGATGGTGGGTGGGATTGTGATGGTGGTGGTGGGTGGGATTGTGATGGGTGGGATTGTGGTGGTGGTGGGTGGGATTGTGGTGGTGGGTGGGATTGTCGTGGTGGGTGGGATTGTGGTGGTGGGTGGGATTGTGGTGGTGGTTGGTGGGATGGTGGTAGTGGTGGTGGGTGGGATTGTGGTGGTGGTGGTGGGTGGGATTGTGGTGGTGGTGGGTGGGATTGTGGTGGTGGGTGGGATTGTGGTGGTGGGTGGGATTGTGGTGGTGGGTAAGATTGTGGTGGTGGTTGGTGGGATGGTGGTAGTGGTGGGTAGGATTGTGGTGGGTGAGATTGTGGTGGTGGTGATGGGTGGGATGGTGGTTGTGGTGGGTGGGATTGTGGTGGTGGGTGGGATTGTGGTGGTGGTGGGTGGGATTGTGGTGGTGGTGGGTGGGATGGTGGTAATGGTGGGTAAGATTGTGGTAGGTGGGTTTGTGGTGGTGGTGGTGCTGGGTGGGTTTTTGGTGGTGGTGGTGGTGGCGGTGGGATTGTGGTGGTGGTGGTGCTGGGTGGGTTTTTGGTGGTGATGGTGGTGGCGGTGGGATTGTGGTGGTGGTGCTGGGTGGGATTGTGGTGGTGGTGGTGGTGCTGGGTGGGATTGTGGTGGTGGTGCTGGGTGGGTTTGTGGTGGTGGTGCTGGGTGGGATTGTGGTGGTGGTGGTGGTGCTGGGTGGGATTGTGGTGGTGGTACTGGGTGGGATTGTGGTGGTGGTGGTGGTGATGGTGGTGCTGGGTGGGATTGTGGTGGTGGTACTGGGTGGGATTGTGGTGGTGGTGGTGGTGCTGGGTGAGTTTGTGGTGGTGGTTGTGGTGGTTGGTATGGTGATGGTGCTGGGTGGGTTTGTGGTGGTGCTGGTGGTGCTGGGTGGGATTGTGGTGGTGGTGGTGCTGGGTGGGATTGTGGTGGTGGTGGTGCTGGGTGGGATTGTGGTGGTGATGGTGGTGCTGGGTGGGATTGTGGTGGTGGTGGTGCTGGGTGGGATTGTGGTGGTGGTGCTGGGTGGGATTGTGGTGGTGGTGGTGGTGGTGCTGGGTGGGATTGTGGTGGTGGTGGTGGGTGGGATTGTGGTGGTGGTGGTGCTGGGCGGGATTGTGGTGGTGGTGGTGCTGGGTGGGATTGTGGTGGTGGTGGTGCTGGGTGGGATTGTGGTGGTGGTGGTGGTGCTTGGTGGGATTGTGGTGGTGGTGGTGCTGGGTGGGATTGTGGTTGGCACCTCGATGTTCTTGGCGAGGAGGCGGATCGCCTGAACTTGCTCCGGGGTCTTCACCACCATCCGGTAGACGACATCGCTGCAGTGGCACAGACGGCGCGTGACACACACACCCGCATTTACACACACACTGACACTCACACACACTGACACACACACCCGCACACACACACTGACACACTGACACTCACACACACACTGACACACACACCCGCACACACACACACACTGACACACTGACACTCACACACACACTGACACACACACCCGCACACACACACACACTGACACTCACACACACACTGACACACACCCGCACTCACACCCACACTGACACACTGACACTCACACACACTGACACTCACACACACTGACACACACACCCGCACACACACACTGACACACTGACACTCACACACACACTGACACACACACCCGCACACACACACACACTGACACACTGACACTCACACACACACTGACACACACACCCGCACACACACACACACTGACACTCACACACACACTGACACACACCCGCACTCACACCCACACTGACACACTGACACTCACACACACTGACACTCACACACACTGACACACACACCCGCACACACACACTGACACACTGACACTCACACACACACTGACACACACACCCGCACACACACACACACTGACACACTGACACTCACACACACACTGACACACACACCCGCACACACACACACACTGACACTCACACACACACTGACACACACCCGCACTCACACCCACACTGACACACTGACACTCACACACACTGACACTCACACACACTGACACACACACCCGCACACACACACTGACACATTGACACTCACACACACTGACACACACACCCGCACACACACACTCACACACTGACACTCACACACACTGACACACACACCCGCATTTACACCCACACTGACACACTGACACTCACACACACACTGACACACACCCGCACTCACACACACTGACACACTGACACTCACACACACACTGACACACACACCCGCACACACACACTCACACACACACACACTGACACACACACCCGCACTCACACACACACTGACACACTGACACTCACACACACACTGACACACTGACACATTGACACTCACACACACACACTGACACACACACTGACACACACACTGACACACATACATTGACACACACTGACACACACACACACTGACACACACAGACATACACACACACACACACTGACACACACACACTGACACATACACTGACACTGACACACACACTGACACACACACATACACACAGACACACTGACACACACACTGACACACACACATACACACAGACACACTGACACACACACTGACACACACACTGACACACATACACACTGACACACACACTGACACACACACACTGACACACACACACAGACACACTGACACACACACACTGACACACACACACAGACACACTGACACACACACACTGACACACACACACACAGACACACACTGACACACACACACTGACACACATACACACACATACACACACATACACACTGACACAAACTGACACACACACACACACTGACACACACACACTGACACACAGACACACTGAAACACACACACACACACTGACACACACAGACACACACACACTGACACACACACACACTGACACACATACACACACACACATACACACACATACACACTGACACACACACACTGACACACACACTGACACACACACTGACACACATACATTGACACACACTGACACACACACACACTGACACACACAGACATACACACACACACACACTGACACACACACACTGACACATACACTGACACTGACACACACACTGACACACACACATACACACAGACACACTGACACACACACTGACACACACACATACACACAGACACACTGACACACACACTGACACACACACTGACACACATACACACTGACACACACACTGACACACACACACTGACACACACACACAGACACACTGACACACACACACTGACACACACACACAGACACACTGACACACACACACTGACACACACACACACAGACACACACTGACACACACACACTGACACACATACACACACATACACACACATACACACTGACACACACTGACACACACACACACACTGACACACACACACTGACACACAGACACACTGAAACACACACACACACACTGACACACACAGACACACACACACTGACACACACACACACTGACACACATACACACACACACATACACACACATACACACTGACACACACTGACACACACACACACACTGACACACACACACTGACACACAGACACACTGAAACACACACACACACACACACTGACACACTGACACACACACTGACACACACTGACACACACACTGACACACACACAGACACACACACAGACACACACTGACATACACACTGATACAGACCGACACACTGACACACACACACTGACACACAGACACACTGACACACACTGACACACACAGACACACACAGACACACACACACTGACACACAGACACACTGACACACACACACTGACACACACTGACACACACACACTGACACACACACATACACTGACACACACACACAGACACACACTGACACACACACACTGACACACACACATACACTGACACTCACACATACACACACACATACACACACATACACACACACACACTGACACACACTGACACTGACCCATCGAAGCGGCGAGCTGCTAGGCAGCCTCCCAGCAGAGCCAGGAGGCAGAGAGCCACCAGGGTCTTCATGGTGACTCGGGAAAGACAAAGGCGGCTAAGACGACCACGACGACGAGGAGGAGTTGGAGGAGTTGGAGGAGGTGGGTGGTGGTGCAGATGGAGAGAGCGTTGTGGAACGCGCCCCTCTTATACTCGGGATTGGAGGGGCATTGCCTGCTGCGGTTTGTTTAATCACGAGGGATGTGGGTGGGGCAGCGTTGGTGGACAGCTCCAGCTGATAAGTGTCCTTGTGTCACCCCGGTGAGGTTGGTGGTTGTGGTGGGGGTTGTTGTGGGGGTTGTGGTGGTGGTTGTGGTTGGGTGGAAGTGGGTGGAAGTCTCAAGATGACAAGTTTCCTTGTGTCACCCCGGTGAGGTTGGTGGTTGTGGTGGTGGTGGTTGTGGGGGTTGTTGTGGGGGTTGTGGTGGTGGTTGTGGTGGTGGTGGTTGGGTGGAAGTCTCAAGATGACAAGTTTCCTTGTGTCACCCCGGTGAGGTTGGTGGTTGTGGTGGTGGTGGTTGTGGGGGTTGTTGTGGGGGTTGTGGTGATGGTTGTGGTGGTGGTTTTGGTGGTGGTGGTTGGGTGGAAGTGGGTGGAAGTCTCAAGATGACAAGTTTCCTTGTGTCACCCCGGTGAGGTTAGTGGTTGTGGTGGTGGTGGTTGTGGGGGTTGTGGTTGTGGTGGTGGTTGTGGTGGTGGTTGTGGTGGTGGTGGTGGTTGGGTGGAAGTGGGTGGAAGTCTCAAGATGTCAAGTGTCTTCTTTGGTTCTTTCGGTAAAGTCACCACCACGTAGAATGAGAATAAAACAATAAAACAAAATGAGACACTAAAAATTCTCACGACGTTTCGGCCACAACGCAAGCGGCCGTCTTCAGGTGAAGGAACAGAAGTGTCGGGACGACAGAGCTTCAATGGCGTCATCTGGTCCAACACCAGTGTGGAGACTGTTTTTCGTATTTTGATACTATTCATCTGGTCCAACATCAGTGTGAGACTAAGGGCTCTAAGAAAAGCCGTCTCGGGTGTGGACCAATCAATGTCAAGGACGCTGCCAATATCATTATCAGAGTTGTCTATTTAAAAATTTTAAGCTTTCGTGACTGCAAGGATTCATCTTCTTTGGTTCTTTCGGTAAAGTCACCACCACGTAGAATGAGAATAAAATAATAAAACGCAACCTTAAGATCATTCGAAGACGGCCGCTTGCGTTGTGGCCGGAACGTCGTGAGAATTTTATTGTGTTATTTTATTTTATTATTCTCATTCTACGTGGTGGTGACTTTACCGAAAGAACCAAAGAAGATGAATCCCCTCAGTCACGAAAGCTTTAGAATCTAAAAATGACAAGTGTCCTTGTGTCACCCCGGTGAGGTTGGTGGTTGTGGTGGTTGTGGTAGTGGTATTGGTTGGGTAGTTGTGGTGGTGGTGGTTGTGGTGGTTGTTGTGGTGGTTGTGGTGGTTGTGGTAGTGGTGTTGGTTGGGTGGTTGTGGTGGTGGTTGTGGTGGTGGTTGTGGTGGTGGTGGTGGTGTAGGGGAGGCCCTGGTTAATTTCGTCATCATCACCATCATCAATACGATGCTTTGAAACAAGGAGGTGGGTGGGTGAGGTGGGTGGAGGTGGAGGTGAGTAGTTGGGTGGGTGGTTGGGTGTAGGTGGGTGTAGGTGGGTGGAAGTGGGTGTAGGTGGGTGGAAGTGGGTGGGTGGGTGTAGGTGGTGTGAGGTGGGTGGGTGGTTGGGAGGAAGTGGGTGGGTGGTTGGGTGTAGGTGGGTGGAAGTGGGTGTAGGTGGGTAGAAGTGGGTGTAGGTGGGTGTAGGTGGGTGGAAGTGGGTGTAGGTGGGTGGACATGGGTGGTTGGGTGTAGGTGGGTGTAGTTGGGTGTAGGTGGGTAGAAGTGGGTGTAGGTGGGTAGAAGCGGTTGTAGGTGGGTGGAAGCGGTTGTAGGCGGTTGGAAGTGGGGGTGGTGGTGGGTGGTGCCAATTTGGAGCTAGAGTGCGACTTGGCCCGTGTGAGCGAGCCAGCCACGTGCCAGCTGCTGTTTGATGCTCCGGGGACTACCCCAGGCACCCTCCCCACGGCTCTCGCTCGCTGGGACTCGGGGTAAGGCCCCCACCTCCCCCCCCCGAGGTGCAGGGAAGAAATCGTGGGTTCGAATCCTGACCCTGACGCCTGCTGCTGTAGATTTGGAGATTGTGTGCCTCTCTCTCTCTCTCATTATCACGGTGGCTATGAGATGTTGAATAACTCGCCTGGTCTACAGGAGGTCGTGGGTTCGAATCCTGACCCTGACGCCTGCTGCTGTAGATTTGGAGATTTCGTGTCTCTCTCTCTCATTATCACGGTGGCTATGAGATGTTGACTACCTCGCCTGGTATACAGGATGTCGTGGGTTCGAATCCTGACCCTGACGCCTGCTGCTGTAGATTTGGAGTTTGCGCGTCTCTCTCTCTCTCATTATCACGGTGGCTATGAGATGTTGACTAACTCGCCTGGTCTACAGGAGGTCGTGGGTTCGAATCCTGACCCTGACGCCTGCTGCTATAGATTTGGAGATTTCGTGTCTCTCTCTCTCTCATTATCACGGTGGCTATGAGATGTTGACTACCTCGCCTGGTATGCAGGAGGTCGTGGGTTCGAATCCTGACCCTGACGCCTGCTGCTGTAGATTTGGAGATTTCGTGTCTCTCTCTCTCTCATAATCACGGTGGCTATGAGATGTTGACTACCTCGCCTGGTATGCAGGAGGTCGTGGGTTCGATACCGACCCTGACGCCTGATGCTGTAGATTTGGAGTTTGCGCGTCTCTCTCTCATTATCACGGTGGCTATGAGATGTTGACTAACTCGCCTGGTCTACAGGAGGTCGTGGGTTCGAATCCTGACCCTGACGCCTGATGCTCTAGATTTGGAGTTTGCGTGTCTCTCTCTCTCTCATTATCACGGTGGCTATGAGATGTTGACTACCTCGCCTGGTGTGCAGGAGGTCGTGGGTTCGATACCGACCCTGACGCCTGCTGCTGCTGCTGTATATTCGGAGTTTGCGATGTCTCTCATCATCATCATCACGGTGGCTAGGAGATGTTGACTGCCTCAACCACCAGCTGCTCCACCTCCTCCTCCATTAGCACCTTCACCACCGCCACCACCGCCACCACCACCTCCTCCACCACCTCCATCACCACCACCGCCACCACCACCGCCACCACAACCACCACCTCCTCCACCACCGCCGCCACCAACTCCACCACCACCTCCACCACCTCCACCACCACCACCACCACCACCACCTCCACCACCACCACCTCCACCACCACCGCCTCCACCACCACCTCCACCGCCACCACCGCCGCCACCACCGCCACCACCACCACCACCGCGTGAGCAGCAGCTTCGTGAGCGGCAGCTACTACTACACAAGTAGCAGCTATGTAAGTAGGAGCTACTACATCGGTATTAGTAGCTACTACTACACAAGTAGCAGCTATGTAAGTAGGAGCTACTACATCGGTATTAGTAGCTACTACTACACAAGTAGCAGCTATGTAAGTAGGAGCTACTACATCGGTATTAGTAGCTACTACTACACAAGTAGCAGCTATGTAAGTAGGAGCTACTACATAGGTATTAGTAGCTACTACTACACAAGTAGCAGCTATGTAAGTAGGAGCTACTACATCGGTATTAGTAGCTACTACTACACAAGTAGCAGCTATGTAAGTAGGAGCTACTACATCGGTATTAGTAGCTACTACTACCTATGCAGTTACTACATAGGTAGTAGTAGCTGCTACATAGGTAGTAGTAGCTACTACTACTAGTAGTAGCTACTACTACTAGCTATGTAGTAGTAGCTACTACATAGGTATTCGTAGCTACTACTACACAAGTAGCAGCTATGTAAGTAGGAGCTACTACATCGGTATTAGTAGCTACTACTACCTATGCAGTTACTACATAGGTAGTAGTAGCTGCTACATAGGTAGTAGTAGCTACTACTACTAGTAGTAGCTACTACTACTAGCTATGTAGTAGTAGCTACTACATAGGTATTCGTAGCTACTACTACACAAGTAGCAGCTACGTAAGTAGCACGTACTACATAGGTATTAGTAGCTACTACATAGGTAGTAGTAGCTACTACTACATGTAGTCGTAGCTCTACTAAACAAGTAGCAGCTACGTAAGTAGCAGCTACTACATAGGTGTTAGTAGCTACTACTACACAAGTAGCAGCTATGTAAGTAGGAGCTACTACATCGGTATTAGTAGCTACTACTACACAAGTAGCAGCTACGTAAGTAGCAGGTACTACATCGGTATTAGTAGCTACTACATAGGCAGTAGTAGCTACTACTACACAAGTAGCAGCTACGTAAGTAGCAGGTACTACATACGTGTTAGTAGCTACTACTACATGTAGCAGCTACTACATAGGTATTAGTAGCTACTACATGTAGTCGTAGCTACTACTACACAAGTAGCAGCTACGTAAGTAGCAGCTACTACATAGGTGTTAGTAGTTACTACATGTAGTAGTAGCTACTACATAGGTAGTAGTAGTAGCTACTACTCCCTATGTACCTACTACTACCTATGTAGCCGTAACTACAAGGCACTGCCCTTTCAAGGGGCCGCGTGCTAAACGCTTTCAAGCTATCGATTACCAGTTCAGTGATTCGGCACTTGCTCTATCACTATAGTACTATACCGCCTTAGACTTATACGAACGACCGGGTGTTTAAGGTTTAGCGATTGGTCGTACTATCTGGCTGTGCGCAACAAAAAAATACAGTTACTTTACTATGCGAAGACACACACACACGTGCACACACACACACACGTACACACACACACGTACACACACACACGTGCACACACACACGTATAACAACAACAACAACCACGCTTGTGCCAGGCCATGTGCACCTTGAGGCTACCACGTGAACTGTCGAACGCCCGCTGGCAGGAGGTCACGGGGCAGACCCAGGTGCCACGGGTCGACTGACTGAGATGACTGGCTGATGCACCACTTGTGCCCCCTACTGTGCCAACCTGCTGTGCTTTAGCCACCCGGCGACCGCTCGTTGTTGTGAGCGTCGCTCCTCCGCCCTCCGTTGTTGTTGGAGGGCGACTGCCTCCAACTGCCCAGTAGCGTCCCTCACGAGCCTCCTCCACAGAGGCCGACATTG